AAATTCATGCATATGGGTGACACTTTAAACTTGAAACTCTATTCAATATCCCTGCTTGCGAGTGTTCATGTTTTAGATAACATAAATATACAAATACACCAACATCTGTTGTTTATCATCTACGTGGGAGGTCTATTTCACGTTGGGAACACTTGTGACGAGCGAGTTATAAATAACTCCTTATGCCTTAAACTTAATCATGTGATTTAGTTTCAAACTGCATTCACGAGTGTGCTTTGGAGTAATACACATCGCTCAAACACCATGACTATTTTTACTCTACGGTAGTCATGTCAGGAATTTAAAAGATTTCTCGTACGGATCTACAATCATCGAATACTTTCAAGCCATGTGTGGCCAATACGTTCTGTATGACTTGCTGCGTAGATCTTCTTCCCAAGGGAAAACGAAAATCGCTACGTTACAGCGTAAACTCATTCCGTGTGATGATTATGTATGTCAAAGTTATTCTGTGAAACGATCAGGTAAATATATATTTCAACTCATAGTAGCATAGTCCGCCATTTTTTTGAAAACCAAACTGTACGTCGATCAATCGATTTTGCATACTTTGCATTTTAGCGGTTTATGACTGCAATTTTACGAGGTGACTCATAATTTCCAATACATAACCCTCTTTATGTAACTATCGGTTTTTAATATTATTCTCTCTCTCTCTTTTTCTTCTATGACAGATGAGCGATTCTGATTAGAGGGATGGAATAAGAAAAAAAAGTGTACAGACTGCTTGCCTCATTGAAAGGAAGTAAGAAATGTAAAAAATAAACAACATATGTATATATAGAATGAATTATTATTTATTTTTCACTGTTTACTATTATTGACGCTTCTCTTTTCTGTGTTTTAATCGAATCGTTTATGTACTCATATTTTTTCGTGCCGTTAAAAATAATTTACTCGAAAAAAAAAGCAAATATGTAAAAAATATAAACAATGAACAACATATGTATATATAGAATTAATTATTTTTGATTGTTCACTGTTGACTTTTTACCGAATCGTTTATGTACTCGTATTTTTCGTGGCGTTAAATATAAATTTAACCACGCCACACATTTACATGTATCTACGTATTTTTCAAGGTATTAAGAAAA